TTACCAGGCACAATATTCTAAATTGATAAATCAGGAAATAGAATGGAAGATCAGAACAATGAAACAAAAAACTTTTGAATCGGCTAATAAATGCGGAAAACTGCTAGCTTGGCAGTTGAAAAAGAGACAAAGACTAAATACGGTAACAAATTTAGAGATTGAAGGAAGGAATATCCAGAACCCTGGAGAGATTAGAAAGTGCTTCCAGGGATACTTCAAAAAGCTATATACCCAAGGGCCACAAGACGAAATAAAGATTAAACAATTTTTAGAGAAAAATGGATTAGCAAAGCTGTCAGAAGAAAACAGAACAATTTTGAATGGTGAAATAACACGACAAGAGATTGAGCAGGCCATCCAGAGTTTGAAACAGGGCAAATCGCCAGGGCCAGACGGACTGACCTCCAACTATTATAAGACACTGAAAGATTACCTGATACAGCCATTGTTGGAGGTCAGTAATGAAATAATGGAGGGGAAGAAGGCGCCAGAATCGTGGAAAGAAGCAATTTATCACACTGATACCAAAGTCGGAAACTGAAAAGACACAACTCAAGAACTACCGTCCCATTTCTCTTTTAAATGTGGATACAAAATATTTGCAGACGTTTTGGCACGTAGACTCAGAAAGTTTTAAGTGAGATAATCCATAAAGACCAGGCAGCTTTCTCCCGGGCAGATATATGTTTGCTAATACAAGGAACATTATAGATATATTGGAACTTTGCAAACAAACATAAACACTAAAGCAGCTTTAATTTTTATAGACGCGGAGAAAGCCTTTGACAACATATCCTGGAAATTTATGAAGGGGAACTTAAAGAATGGGAGTGGGACGTGGGTTTGAGATGGGATTGAGGCTATATATTCAGAACAAAAGGCTAAACTGATAGTCAACAATGTGGTTACAGAAGAGTTCAAAATAGAAAAAGGTACACGACAAGGCTGCCCGATCTCCCCATTACTGTTTATTTCGGTTCTGGAAGTGCTGTTAAATGATCACTGGCAGACAAAGTTTTTTTGGGGACTTCCGGAGGCGGCGCGTTCGGCAATGGCTGCCTTCTCCCGTTAAGGAGAGGGGAGCTCCGTTGAATTGGGTCGTTCGCTACGCCGGAGCGGAGACCCGCTTTGGAGAACCACAGGCGGCAGAAGCCTTGTGCTTGAGACCGGCGGGCGCCAAAAGCACCCCCCAAAACGCTGAAGGGACCCCGTAAGGGGCTTCCGGATCGCGGAGGGGCAGCGGCGCTGTGGGTCGTTTCGCGGTCAACGGAGTGAAGCCGCGCTGCTGTTGTCTTTCAGCGCTGACCTTCTTCCTGGAAACTTCAAAATCGGAAAGTCGTAACCCGTGAGTAATTGGGACCTTACAACTCTTGATCTTACTAGACTTTAAGGCTCTTAAGGCTTCTTAAGAGCTGGAATTTGGCTGAAAGCGGAGTGACGATTACAGGGAGTCCCGTCTTCCGCTAATACTGAACTTGAAGCAAAGTGCTGAGGAGTGGAGACAAAGAGCGATGCTTTAATTAACTGATCTGACCCCATTTTACTGCCTTTTGGACTTGGAAAAAAATTTTAAGTTGTTGATTTTTGGATTTAAAGACACTCTTCTTCTGTTGAATCATGGTTACAAATTAAACCCCAGGTGCTGGAGTGCCTGACTGAGTATCAGTCTGCAACTTTGGAACATTGAATTTAAATTTTGAACACTCTGAGCAGGGACCTGTTACATGGAAACAGTTGCAGTCTGGCACTTTTAGAGACACTGTTTTGCTTTAAGTATACTCTGCTGAAAAATATCACTTATTGGAGGCTCTCGGATGTGGAATTTGACTTATTAACTTGAATCGGACTAAACTCTCTCCCTAAAGACATATTAAGCTCCCTCTAGAGTTTTGGACTTACAGCAGTGACTTTGTTTTACTTTCTTTTTCCTGGCTTTTATTTTCCCATGGGAAAAACTTGGTCTGACCTTGGATTACAGTAACTTTGGAATGAGTGGCACAAGGAAAAGAGGAAGAACTAACAGACAACTTTAACTTTATCTACAGCCTCACAGCGTAGATCTTCTGTGCCTGCTTTGCCTTCTACTCTGCTCCTGAGATAGAGGTGCCTTCCCTGACGCAGGCAGGGGAGGAGAAATAGAGGAACTGCATCTGGAGGATATGGCTTCAGGAATAAGTGGCTCTGTTTTAGAGAAAATTTTTGAAAAATTGGAGGCTTTGGATAAAAAGGCTGATTTGCAAACGGCTAAAATTGAACAGAACATAGAAAGTCTGAACAAATTTGACTGGACAAGTTTGCACAGAATGCCCAATCTATTGGAGAGTTAAAGGAGGCTGTAGTGAAAATCGGAAATTGCTGAAGACACTAGCCAAAGATTGGAGAACTTGAGAAAGAGGTAAGACCACTCAGTAAACAAGTTGGAGAACACCAGATTTACTTTTCGATAGACAGAGCTGCGGAACAAGGAGGCCAACTTGAGGATACGGTCAGTACCAGAAGTGGAAGAAGTATATTTAATTGAATTTTTGGACCAAGGATTTTCCAAGTTCTGGAAGGGCAGAAAAGAATTTTTTTGAAAAAATCCCGAACCCCCGGGGTCACAATTTCATCAAAAATTCGACTTTCGGCAATATACTCAAAAATGTTGCCAAACGGCTGCAAATGCTCCCCTGAAAGGTGTGGCGGTCGAAACAGAAGGCATTTTATCACAGGCAAACAAATCAGCCTCAACAACTTAACCGGCAGAAAAAGTTTTTTTTGCAAAAATCCCTAAGCCCCGGGTTCACAATTTCATCAAAAATCTGACTTTCGGCAATTCACTCTAAAATGGTGCCAAACGTTTGCAAATGCTCCCCTGAAAGGTTTGGCCGTCAAAACAGAAGGCTTTTTATCACAGGACAAGAAATCAGCCATGGACAACTTAAGCGGCAGAAAAAGATTTTTTTGAAAAAATCCCTAAGCCCCGAGGGCCCCAAATTCATAAGAAATCTGACTTTCGGCAATTCACTCTAATTTTTTTTGAAATTTGAAATTTGAACTCCAGATTTTTTTGGAAAAAAAAATTCATCAAAAATCTGTCTTTCGGCAATTCAATCCAAAATTTTGTCAAACGGTTGCAAATGCTCCCCTGAAAGGTTTGGCGGTTGAAAGAGAAGGCTTTTTATCACAGGACAGGGAATCAGCCCTCCACAACTTAACCGACAGAAAAAGATTTTTTTGAAAAAATCCCTAACCCCCGGGGTCACAATTTCATCAAAAATCTTACTTTTGGCAAATCACTCAAAAATGCTGTCAAACGGTTGCAAATGCTCCCCTGAACGGTTTGGCCGTCAAAACAGAAGGGTTTTTATCACAGAACAAGAATTCAGCCCTCGACAACTTAACTGGCAGAAAAGATTTTTTTGAAAAAATCCCTAAGCCCCGGGGTCACAATTTCATCAAAAATCTGACTTTCGGCAATTAACTGTAAAATGGTGCCAAGCGTTTGCAAATGCTCCCCTGAAAGGTTTGGCGGTCGAAACAGAAGGCTTTTTATCACAGGACAGGGAATCAGCCCTCCACAACTTAACCGGCAGAAAAAGATTTTTTGGAAAAAATCCCTAAGCCCCGGGGTCACAATTTCATAAACAATCTGACTTTCGGCAATACACTCCAAAATTGTGCCAAACGTTTGCTAATGCTCCCCTGAAAGGTTTGGCCGTCGAAACAGAAGTCTTTTTATCACAGAACAAGAAATCAGCCCTCAACAACTTAGCCGGCAGAAAAAGATTTTTTTGAAAAAATCCCTAAGCCCCGGGGTCACAATTTCATCAAAAATCTTACTTTCGGCAATTCACTCAAAAATGCTGCCAAACGGTTGCAAATGCTCCCCTGAAAGGTTTGGCCGTCAAAACAGAAGGCTTTTTATCACAGAACAAGAAATCAGCCCTCGACAACTTAACCGCTAAGCTAGAAATAGTACCTTAAGTTAAGAACTTTGCTTCCGGATGAAAACAGAAATCGCACGGCCGCAGAGCGGTGGCAGCAGGAGGCCCCATTAGCTAAAGTGGTGCTTCAGGTTAAGAACAGTTTTAGGTTAAGAACGGACCTCCAGAGCAATTAAGTTTTTAACCCGAGGTACCACTGTACTTTCATTTTAAAACTTTCTACCTTTTTACAGTGGTGCCTCGGGTTAAGTACTTAATTCGTTCCGGAGGTCCGTACTTAACCTGAAATTGTTCTTAACCTTAAACACCACTTTTGCTAATGGGGCCTCCCGCTGCCGCTGCACGATTTCTGTTCTCATCCTGAAGCAAAGTTCTTAACCCGAGGTAATATTTCTGGGTTAGCGGAGTCTGTAACCTGAAGCGTATGTAACCCGAGGTACCACTGTATCTTCCAGCTGTGCTTGCTGTGCTAAACCATTGCTACATCACTCTAAAGCAGAATACTGGTGTCTGGCCTCCATAGGAAAGATATGGGAGTGGCTACATCACCGATAAATTGATACATTTTGGCACATCGCCGAGGGACTTTTGTGTTCTAAAGCATTAGAAGCCGGAGAAAAGAACTGTTTATAGCATTGAAAGTGAACACGAATTCTTGCATAACCACCTATCTCTGTGCTCACACTTTTTTTCAACTCATGGTAATAGCTTTAAACTTTACAACCAAAATTATGATTAAGGCAAAATATTTACACAGTGACTCAAAACGGTAGTAAAAGTTTTTCTGACTAAGCAAGTTTGATTCAAATTCTTAGCTATTTGAATTTAAGAAGGAAGATGATGACTGTCTGGGACTTCACTTCCAGAATCTTGTGAGTCATCCGGCTGGAGCGAGAGTTGTTTTAAAATACAAGGAGGTTTTGTTTTTTTTAAATCAGCCTTGCATGTTGTTATTTTTTTAAAAGAGGAGGAGTCAAGCTGAAAGAAAGGAGGAGGTGCTTGAACTCATCATATCACAGTATTTAAACTTAGTTTCTCAGAGTGGAACAGCTGTTTCTACAGGATAAATCAAATACTGTAGTCATAATTTTAAAAACCAGAAAAGAAAAAAAACTTTTTATAAAAGTAAAGATGCTATTTAAGTTGCAGATTTTTGCAATGTTTTGGGGAGCTTATGGCTATCAGCTCATTCCCAGGATTGAAGAGTGTGGACTGACATGTTCTCAGGTATGTTACAGTTTCCTCTATATCTCTTGTCTCTGAATAAGTAAATTAAATGCTGATAACTAGATGCAGCTGATATACTCATGAAAAACTTCTTACATGTGCCAGTTTTCAGTTTTGTTGTGCATTTCAACAAAAAGAAATATATAGTCCGTTGAGCTTTCCCTAAAAACGTAAAATAAAAGCATAGGGCAATAGCCAATGTTAATTATACTCTGAGTAGACCCATTTAAATGAATGGTCTGTTTTGGATATGAGCAGCGTTCAGAGAGCACCCATACAGTGTTGCAAAAATTCATAGAAACATTTTTTGTGGCTGCGAAAGAAAAATATCTGCATTTTGAAGTTAGCAATGCTGAACTCTTTCTGGTTATGCTTGATACTAAACGCTTAGCAACACAAGCTTTCAGGAACTGTTATTTCCAAATATTAAAAATATAAAAGAGGAAATGAGAGAGAAAAATCAGACAGATATAATTCAGTCCATATTAGGATAGTGTGCAGGTCACTTTGATGCTGGTCATATTTGCTTGTAAACTATGAACATTGATGAAATTAACAAAACATTTGTGCCTAAACTGAGCACAGAATTGTTTTATATCCTCACCGATTACCCGTATTTTTCACCCTATAACACGCACCCGACCATAACACGTACGTAGTTTTTAGAGGAGGAAAATCCATAGGCATGCCACCCGTAGGCATTTCCTCCATAACACGCACAGACATTTCCCCTTACTTTCTAGGAGGAAAAAAGTGAGTGTTATGGTGCAAAAAATACGGTATCTGCTTTCATATCAAGCACTCATTGATTTATATGATCACCAGGAGCTGGAAAATAAACTAATTTAGGTCAAAACTTTAAACTCATTCATCCCTGTGGGCTTGTGCACTTCTTAGGCTTGGGCTGGGTATTGGATATAAATGAGATAAATAAACAGCAACACTACAACCCTGTCATTTTCAGATTGAACGACTGCTTTAAGAATACTGACTTTTCAAGGTATCTCCACTTGGGGGCAGTCCTGCAGACATGCTGAAATAGAATACAATTCGAGTAGTGAAACAAGGTAGAGTGGTTTATGAAAGCAAAGTTTTCAGCTGAGAGCCACACAGTGTTAAGAAGTGCAGTGAGTTTGCTAACAGCAGGTAGCTGCAACAAAATGTTGCCATGCATCCTTTCTCATAACAGGAAAGGGTTTCTGCTAACCAATCCTTCCAAGCGGGTTACAGTGGTACCTCGGGTTAAGAATCTCAGAAATAGGGCCGGATTTAGGTTTGATGAGGCCCTAAGCTACGAAAGATAATGGGGCCCTTTATATGTCCAGCTGTCCTTTGTCTACAACAAATTGCTGCTGTTTTTTGTGTTGAATATACAGTGGTACCTCAGGTTAAGAGCTTAATTTGTTCTGGAGGTCTGTTCTTAACCTGAAGCTGTTCTTAACCTGAAGCACCACTTTAGCTAATGGGGCCTCCCGCTGCCACCAGGCGATTTCTGTTCTCATCCTGAAACAAAGTTCTTAAGCCGAGGTACTATTTCTGGGTTAGTGGAGTCTGTAACCTGAAGAGTATGTAACTTGAAGTGTATGTAACCCGAGGTACCACTGTATATGCCCACCCCACCCTTTTAAATGATTGCTCCTCAGCACTGCAAGGCTGTTCAGCATGGACAAAGGACTGGAGTTCGGTTACAGATTTCCATGTCAAAGATGCCAAGTTCAGTACCTGTCATTTTTAGGGTTGGGGGAGTCTGAAATCTTAAAGAGCTACTGCTAGTCCTTATAAGCAGTGCTCAGCTAGATGGTGGGATTTGTGCATGGGTAGGCAAACTAAAGGGACGCGGGTGGCACTGTGGGTTAAACCACAGAGCCTAGGACTTGCCGTTCAGAAGGTCGGCGGTTCGAATCCCCGCAACGGGGTGAGCTCTCGTTGCTTGGTCCCTGCTCCTGCCAACCTAGCACTTCGAAAGCACGTCAAAGTGCAAGTAGCTAAATAGGTACCGCTCCGGCGGGAATGTAAACGGCATTTCCGTGCGCTGCTCTGGTTTGCTAGAAGCGGCTTACTCATGCTGGCCACATGACCTGGAAGCTATACGCCGGCTCCCTTGGCCAGTAAAGCGAGATGAGCGCCGCAACCCCAGAGTCGGCCACGACTGGACCTAATGGTCAGGGGTCCCTTTACCTTTACCTAGGCAAACTAAGGCCCAGGGGCCAGATCCTGCCCAATCACCTTCTACATCTGGCCTGTGGACGGTCCAGGAATCAGCGTGTTTTTGCATGAGTAGAATGTGTGCTTTTATTTAAAATGCATCTCTGGGTTATTTGTGGGGCATCGTTCATTCCCCCCTCCCCAAAATATAGTCTGGCCTCCCACAAGGTCTGAGGGACAGTGGACCTCTGCTGAAAATGTCTGCTGACCCCTGTGTGTTATCACATTTACAGAAAAAGGGCTAAACTCACTGGGTAGTTTTAAAAGTTTGGAACAAGCTGGTTTTCTTCCGGAAAACTAACATGAATCAATTACGATTGCTCTTGTTGGATAACAGGAGTCACTTCTCGAAGGGCTGATTCATCCTTCATTTTGGGTGACTTGCTGCTTGTTGACTCCCTCCTGCTCAATGTGACTTGCTCTCATTGGAAGTTATTACGAGGTGATGACATCTGGCAATATGTCGAAATCTCATTGCTATTAAGCTGTAACGGCTCCTTCACACGTGCAATTCATCAGGCGATGCACACAGTTGTTAATTTCTTATACGATAACTAGGTTTTTTCTTATTTAAAAAGAAATCAATTTAAAAAATGAAATGAAACATTTTCCAAAACTCAAACAGCGCACACTGAGTTCCTGCAAATACATCACGTTGTAGTCAGATATTGTACAGTGGTACCTTGGGTTAAGTACTTAATTCGTTCCGGAGGTCCATTCTTAACCTGAAACTGTTCTTAACCTGAGGTACCACTTTAGCTAATGGGGCCTCCTGCTGCTGCCGCGCCGCTGGAGCACGATTTCTGTTCTCATCCTGAAGCAAAGTTCTTAACCTGAAGCACTATTTCTGGGTTAGCGGAGTCTGTAACCTGAAGCGTCTGTAACCTGAAGCGTCTGTAACCTGAGGTACCACTGTATACCTAAAGAATGCAGTGCCTGAATTCAACCTCAAACATACCTTTCTTGAGCAACTTGTGTCATGTGTGAGTTTTGTTCATATGGGATAGAGAATATGGAAGAGAAATCAAAATGACATTGCAGCCAGTGAAGGTTTTATATCTGTGTTAAAAACAGAGGTAGCAAACATCAGGGCTTTTTTTAAGTTTGGGAGGGCAGTGGTATAGTGTGTCGGAGCAGAGGGGCAATGGCCCCGGGTGCAAAAAGGCACCCCCACAACAGTCTCCTTTATGTGACTGAGTTCCTGCCGCCTTCTGGAACCGTGGGGAGCCAAGCCATACCTGCACTGGTCCTTCGGGGCTGGGGTGGTGCCTCCTTCTCCTTGTGGCCGGCGAGGCAACACCCCTGGGCTGGTGAAGCCGGGAGAGTTGCCAAGCCATGTGGCCACCACCACCAGCAGGGGAACACAGCACTTGCCCTGCCCCGGGCACCAGCAACCCCTGCTATGTCACTGGCAGGGAGCAAACTATTTGGACTAGAAAGCAGCCCCGCTCCATCATAAGCAAGCAATTCCTTCAGGAAGTGTCTACTGATGAGAATGCCCTCGGATACATGTTTGAAATGCAGAACAAGTCCAAATTGACAGAGGCGTATTGGGAGATAATCATCTTAGGGTGTTCATTTAAGCACCCAGCAGTAAGACATTCCACTCATTAAATCAGTGGTGAAATTATACCCACTGCCATAATTTCAAACGTTTTAAAAATACATTAATAGAAGGGCTCTTTTCCCCAGCTGGTTCTTCAGTTTCTGCAAAACAGTCATGAAATTCTGAAACTTCAAGGTGAATTGTTAAGAGAGAATTTTATGTGAACTGCGTTTTCATTCGGTTTATTCTCTGTGCTCAGTCTGCATATTACCGTATTTTTCGGCCTATAGGACACACCGGCCCATAGGACGCACCTAGCTTTTTTTTTTTGGGGGGGGGGATCAAGGAAATTTATTTTATTTCCCCCCCAGGTTTGCGCAGCCATCCCCAAGCTAGAAGAGGGAGACGGAGCGCTCCGTCTCCCTCTTCTGCCTTCAGGGACAGCCTCTCTAGCCTCTGTGGGGCAGCGGCTTGCCCCGCTGTCCCCCGAGCTTATGGAGCTTATGGGGCCCCCCGCCAGCCTCCAGATCAGGCCGGGGAATAGCAGGGTGGCGGCGCTCCGCCTCCCCACTATCCCCCGAGCTTGTGGGCTGCAGGCTGCTGCCCGCAAGCTTTGCGAGCCGGCGGGACCTCCCGCCGGGCTTGCAAGGCTTGCGGATAGCTTCCTGAAGCCTGGAGATCGTGAGGGGTCAGTGCGCTCTGACCCCTCTCGCTCTCCAGGCTTCAGGGAAAGCCTGCATTCGCCCCATAGGACGCACACACATTTTCCCTTCATTTTTGGAGGGGAAAAAGTGCCTCCTATAGGGCGAAAAATACGGTAATTATTACAGGGCACCCCCAGCCCACCCCCACCAGGAAGACTGACCTTTTCCTGCTTTTGCTTGTGTGGTTTTTCTCTTTTTAAAAGCAATGCATGCAACGAAAAATGAAATAACTGCAAAAACTGGCGGCAAGCCTATTTTAAAGGTGTTGTAGGTGAACTAACCAGGTCAGTTCTTTTGGACCCCCTGATAATTTGGCAGCAAAGACACACTTGGTAGTGAGTAACACCCCCCCCCAAACACAATGGGACTTGCTTCTGAGTAAACATATCGAGTATTATCTAGCGGAGTATTACAGGGAAACTCCATGGTTTTAATTGTATCTTTATGTTGCTTACTCTTTTTTCACAAGAATAAAAGTGCTAAAATGTGGAGATCTCTCTCTCTCTCTGTCTCTGCCTCTCTTTCTGAAAGAATATGTAGAGGAG